GACTTGCAGCTGGAACTGCAGCAAAAGGCGGCGCTACAAAGTATTAATGCAAGGGGGGGCGAATAATATTGCACGCCTCACTTTTCAGTTTTTTATTTGTTAAAAAAGTTTAACACATCCAATACATTTCATTCCACTTCACGATTGTGTCCCACTTGTTGTTGATTCTTTACAAAAAATTAAAATTTTACATCTTTATGTTTGAAGCCTGAAATGTGGCAAAAGGTTGAAAAGTTCAAGGGGGCCGAATACTTTCGCAAGGCACTGTATATGGATGGATCTCATCTGATGATGAGAATAGAAAGTACAGCCATGTTGGTCAAATTGAAAAAATATTATGATCATCGGCTCTATGTCTCAGGATGACTCTCAGCTACTACCACACTAAATATTAGCTCAGTTTCTGGAAAACTCACTGAGTTTCAGCCACATCTGGGTTTTCTAAGGTCAGTTGCTCTGAGGGTCAGCGTTTTTTTTTTTCCTCCCCCGTTTTTCCTTCTTCCTGCTCTGCTCTCTGTGTGTCTGAAGCGCCTGGGTCTCATCTCCCGAACAAAAATTAAGAAGATTATGGATTTGGTATTGTGGGCATTCAACTCTATTGATAAGATTTTTTCATCAAAGCGACAAGGTCCTGGGGAACCGGCGTATCCAGCTGAGACTCACACTGTGGGGTACGTCATGGATTCCTGGGGAGTGTGGCAGATGATGTGCCTCTCAGTCCTGTCTCAGGAGGATGTTGAAGACGTTTACATATTTGGACTTATGATAGTAGGGTCTCTGCTTTTTGGCATTGGCGGGGCTCTGTTTTATCGACTTTTGAAGAAGACAGCGGGAGCAGTTTTGGCCATGGAAAAGCTTCCGAGTCAGTGTGAAGGTCTAGTCCTCGCTGTGGGAACTTTAAATCGTCTGGTTTACGAGCTTAACCATAAGGTGGAGGCGATTGAGAATCGCAGGTCACCTGCGGCTTCTGGGACTCGTCAGCATGGTGTGTTCGACCTTGAGGGAGACTCACAGCATGGATCAGTGGAATGGAATCCCACAATTAGGCATTTTCGGAACCAGAATGCCCAGATGGACTCAAGGCTGAAGAAAAAAGTAATCTCTGCCTGAAGTAAAACAAAAATCAAGTTTATCTAAATCTGACTCCCGACGGCCTCGGAGACAGGCCGACTATCAATTTCACCTGGGACATGAGTACCCAAGGACAAAAAATCTACCCCCCCCCCCGAGAACTTTCTGTGCAAGCTCATCAGAACTGTCTGCTGAAACAACATCTTCAGAAACTGTGGTTGATCTGAAAAAAACACTCATGGACAAATCTCAACACCTTGATGTCAAATGCAAGTGTAATCATGTTTTAATTGTGCTGCTGGTAGAGTTTTTTTATGTCTCAAATCGTGTCCTGATAGACAAGATGTGAAAGATCTTTTTTTGTAATGCCACTATCTACCCTCATGTTTCTACCCCTTTTCCTATCTAAGATTATTATCTGATAAGGATAAAAATGGCCGCGCTTTCTACAGTTGCAGCTTCGTGCACTCTGCCCATCTTTAGGACGACTGTACGTACATATTCGCGTTGTACCTCGGTGCAATTCCAATAAAGTTTATTCTGATTCTGATTAATGTGATGTCTTCAAAAGTTAATCAGCTGTTCGTCCAACGGTTAAGGTCAGGGTGTCTCATTAAAATCCATGATATTTTGCTAACACTAGAGACACCTTTCAGCAGTGAACAACCAAAATAATATATTCAGCTTAGAAAACCCAACAGGAGGCCATGAACTAGGTGTATAAACAGCTAAATCAAATTATATTTGAATCACTATGACTTAAATGTATTTTTCTGTTTTTTAGCTGAATAATTTGTGGATTTTGCTTCTTGAACCAGTCTGAGGCAGACACAAAGTTCACGGTGATCTCTACCTTGCTCCGCAGAACAAAAACCGTATTGATGTGGGACAGGATGCCGTGAAAACTGAAGTCGATGTGAGGCCGGACCAAAGAAAACACTGACGGGAGGATACAGGAACCAGGCTGAAGCTGCCATACAAAACAAAGAGAAATAGGAAACATTTTACCACAGAACTCTTATTTATTATAATAAATATCTGATTGCTGGTTTTGGAGCAGCGCACCAGTGGCAGGACTCTGTAAATGGCGTTCCCACACTGAGTGAGCATGAGGTCTTTATCGAACATGAGGTGGAACGGGAAGGCCTTGCAGAACGTGTACGGGCTGATGCGGGTCTCCTGAGTGCCGTTCTCCTCGAAGCCATCGAGATCTTCATAGAAGGCCTCCTCCTCCGAGTCCTTCTCTTCGATCAGGAACTTGATGTGGTCACACTCCTCGCTCTTAGGCTGGATCATCTGCATCAAGTCATTGATTGAATCGTATTTTTAGAGCCATAAAAACAAACAAAATGAACTGAAACTTATGAACAAAAAGCTTCAACTATCCCCGACCAGACAGTCCTGATTAAACATCCAAAGCCCACTCTGTTATCATTAATAACCTGATAATGAAATTATTAATCCTGTGTTTGCTGTATTGAATTAGGACGGTAATAAATGGCAATCTGTGGGTTTATGAGCATAAGGCATGCTGACGTCAAGCTGCTGTCGCTGCTCCCTGTTGCCACAGCAACAGTGGCTAATATTTTCAGAAAATTGGGTGTCACATTTGGAGCGTCTGCCATTTTCTGTACTTTCAACACACACACACACACACAACTGTTGAACATTTTCATTCTGTCTGAGCAGCATGATTAGGTTTGAGAGAAAATGTCACGGTTGGTCCTTCCAAACACTTTAGGTATTTGAGGAGAATAACAAGCTGCAGTGATTGATGTTAGTTGTTTGGTGTGATTTGAAACTTGAATAAACAATAAATATGATTAATAATGAGAGAATTTAACAGAGATAATAACTTATTCTGGTTTAGTCCAAATCTGATTAGCCAGATTGGGTACAAACTCTTGTAAACCTGCAGGTTTTGTCTACTTCACTGAGCAACAGTTAAATAAAGTAGAAGTGAGGAGGGAGAATAACTCTGAACGGGTTGCCAGTCTCCAGCCAGAGACCCCATAACTTAGATCTAAAAATATCCTCTGACTCACAGACATTAGCCCAAACGGAGCTGCGTTTATCTCTGTTTCTGTTTGTGGTTTTCAGAAAATCTGTGGTTTAATCTCCACATCATAACCTCTTAGATTATGTTCTGAAACATGAACTGTCACATTCTGATACAAAGCATCCCAGATACTTCGAGGCTTCGTTGAGTGTTGCAAGATAAATGAGAGAGGGGCTTACAGCTGCGCTCGTTCATCAGCAGCAGCGGAGGGAAGCGTTAGCGCTGCGCACAAACAGGGAGGAAAACAACGAGGCTGACCTTCATCTCTATCTCCGTTCCGTGGATCTGTTGAGCAACAGTTTTAATGATGCCAATCACAATATCCTGCAGGCCTTCCCGCTCGGAGTAGTAGTGAAGGATCAGGTTGTTTCCTTTCTCAGCATCGGTGCAGCGAAACGACGGAGCCCTCATCCCGGGATAGATGGTGCCCAGGTGATCGTGGAGAGCATCCAGGTTCTGCGAATTCACGATAAAGGTTTAAAACATAACAACGAATCACAAAGAAAGTGAGTTAACGGCTGGATTGAGGGATTAAGTAATAACGATGTACAGCTCATTTGATACAAACCTGGTGAGGGACAATTTAAACATGAGATGGAAGAAACAGGATATTTTTCACACTGAAACATGTTTAAGAATATCTTGTACGACAGCAGTCAATTGTTTTAAAAGGTCCAACATTAAAGGAACATTAAAAGGAAAAAGGCTTACCTGCAGGAATTCACGGACATTTGAGCCCAGCACACGCAGTATGGTGTCATATCCTGACTCTTGACAAAATTCAAAAAACATTTTTCCAAACATCTGCAAGATTTCTCCTGCATCGACCTCTGGAATACAGAAAACAAGGAGACAAACACATTTACAAACAATGAACCACGTGATCTGACACACACTGCAGTTTGCCTTTCTTTCAGTCACTAGCTGTCTGTACAGCACCTGAAACATGTTTTGTCACTCACTCAGGACTTTACTTGCAGCAGCAACAAGGTCGTATGTTTTGGCGTCTTCATAAATGATTCGAACAAGAAACTGACCCTCGATATCGAGCTGAGCCTCCCTCCTGAAAGCAGAAAAACAGGGTTATTCCTGAGCTGCAGAAAACCTGCCGGCAGCAGCAGAAAATGGCTCAGACAATTGGTGGCTTTTCTTAAGGGGGATATATATATATATATATATATATATGTATATATATATATATATATATATATATATATATATATATATATATATATATATATATATATATAGGTGTGTGTGTTTATCATAAAACACAGTTTCTTGTTTTGACATAATGAAACTTTTTTTAAAAATTGAACTCAAACTCAGCAGCAGTTTAAGTCCTGATTACAGCAGAATTTAAAGGAGTAGTTGGAACAATAGACCTTAGTTGATAAACAATGACTTCAGCTATAAAGAAGAGATCATAAAAATAGTATAGGCTCTTTAGTTTTCATAATTTAAATATATATATTGACACACACACGTTGCCAATTTATTTACACCGCAATGCATTCTGGGTAAATGATGTAGACAGGATGCTCCAGTGAGAGCTCCATTCAGCTTGAAGGTTAATTTTGGACATTATCTGATGCTCAGCCCTTTAATTTGAACCGGAGCGTTGACAGAGAGGAGAACGGAGAAATTAGTCATCTTCTACGTTAGCTCCAGAGCTAATAAATATGACATTAACTCCAGAGCTAATAAATGACGTTAACTCCTGAGCTAATATGATGTTAGCTCCTAAGCTAAGCATATGACATTAGGTCCAGAGATAATGTATGTTAGATCCTGAGCTATGACGTTAGCTCCTGAGCTAATATATATGACGTTAACTCCTGAGCTAATATATATGATGTTAGCTCCCGAGATAGTATATAAGCTAATATTTATGATGTAGCTCCTGAGTCCTGAGTTA